TTTTCCTCATCCCTGGTCACTATGGTTCCCCTCACATCTACTAGAAGGGGAAGACTCTCCTTTTCATTGATTTGAAAACAGTTATAGCGGCTTCTTAACCTGTTGTCCTGCATAACATCTAGAAATCAACAAATAAATAATTTTTCTCGGTGTAGTTTAATTGCTATAGCAACCATTAGGCTATTAAAATTTAGAGACAAGGGAAATAGCTTTAGGAAAGTCGAATGGCAATTAATCAATAGATGGACCCTCGGTGCCTTCTTACAGAGAATACAGCTCAAAACCTTATTTGACAACCTACAAATCTTCACTAAGCCACAGGAGGCAGTTGTTTGACTTTAAAAGTGCTGTACAACTACGACTTACAAACCAATTACTGTTGATACTACTCAGCTGGGAGTCAGTGTTTTTTAAAGCTTACGTTTGCTCTGTCATTTGTGGTTTAAGCTGTGTAGTCATCCACAGAAGTTATCATTTAGCTTGATTCCTCTACCCTTGTTTCACCATTAGCTTGTGTGATGCTTAAAAAGGGAATGATCTGCATCAGTGTGAAAGGTTTTGTTCTTCCATTTACTAGTATTTATACTAATAGTTGCATCAACATCATGTTCAGCACTTTGAATTTTTAGGAATTTCATCATGCAAACTACAAAGATTTAAACCCAAAGGAAATAGTTGACAGCTTTACACAAAACTTTTAACTGTCCTGACTACACAGCAATTAGATTGTGGCAAAATATATATGGATATCAGAAGGTTTAAGTGTATTTTACTACAGCACCAAGCAGCATGACTGCTGCCCATAAAAGCAGGGTAGTACACACAGATTTTTGGTGCAGCCCATTTTAAAATAATTGTGTTTAAAATTTAACCTTGACATGATATCAAATTCTTCATCTCTTAAGATGCTGCCACTAATGAATAAACAAAAGGAAAATTTAAATTCATTTTAGTGAAAATGGCAGAAAATTTGTGAACAAATGGCAGAATGCTGGAGCTCTACTACTGTGAAGCATTGACACAATGTGGCGATTTCTTTCCTTTCTTGTGGTGTAAGAAGTTGTTTGAGCCACCTCAAATGATAAAGAATTTTATCTAGTTACCTATGTCAATTGACACATAAGCTTCTGAAAGCGTGAGACATTAATATCATTACATGATTCTTCACCAGTCAGTGTAGGCAAACCTCCCTTTTCTCCACCAGTCCAAGGAAGATGGAAGGCAACCACCAAGGTTTAGTAAAAAGAGAACAAAGTCTTTACTACTGAGAATTTAGGAGTGTTGCAAAAACAAGTTTAATTCATTGCAAGATAGTCTTGGCTCATGTATGATTTTGTACTCAGAGCAACTGCTAACCACAGCAGTACATTGCAGAACCTGGTAAAAAGCACTGACAGAGAAATGGATGATACAATTTTCAAACTGTAATGTCAGATACTTACCTGTCTTGCTTGCACGAGTAAATTCTGACAACAGTGAGACTACTCACAAGCCCAACTTGAAACCCAAACTGACTACAAAAACTTTTATTTAGAAGAGAGCTGAATAGCTACTTGTCTACTTTCCATATAACGCATGTTTCAAATGCTCGCCCTCAGATGTATAACTAACATATTTACATTAAGTGGAGAGCACAAAGATACCCTTAACAGGAAAAGAAAACCTACTTGACCACGGAAGTAGTTACCCATTCTGTTGCCCAGAAGCATTTCCCTTGCAAAGTGTTTCCAGTTTTGACTTTAGCTGTATCTCAATGCCTTGTCACTAATTCTAAAGAGAATTAGCTTGTTAGGAATTTTTAAAATCCTGTTTTAATTGAAATTTTAACATTCTAAATTGTTTTACAATTTCATTGTAAAATAGTGCATCCAAAGTGCCAGAGAAGAATGAATATTCTGTATTATGAAGTTGTAGCAAAACTCCAAACTTGAACTAAAGTATTATTACAGGACACAACTTGGAGTAACTCCCAACCAGGTGCTGCCATGTTACACAGAATTGTACTTGGCTGATTTAAGTTATCTTACTGTGACATTAGCACAATGTAGTAACGGTGCAGTCTGCTGTTAAACACAGCAACACGTGAAATCAAATTTTTGCTAGAGGAGTTAGACACAATTCCTTTACAACAACTGAATGGAAAGTCAAACAGACTTGATGCACAAACGCAATACAAACAGAATGGAGAAGTATCTTGACCCAAACTTCTGAAAATGGAGCTAAATTACTTACCTTAAAGTCTAAGAAGTCTGTTGAAGAAAGAACAATGCCCATATTCTCAGTGTGTTCATTACAGAAGAATCCCTTTGTTAAGAAGACACGGGCACTATTTTGTTTCACGGGCTCATGAAGAAAGGAGTTACTTGTGCTGTCCTTTTTATCATCAAATGCTATTTCCAGAGCCACACTGTTACTATGAAGTGGCTTCATTAATAAATGAGGAAGTGACACATTCTATCTCCATTAGAAACATATGGGGAAAAAGAATGTTTGCTATATGGGAAAAAGGAGAAAAATCAGTGAGGAAGCAAGTACTTAAGCTTCCTGGGTATCAGCAAAAAAGGCAAAGCTTGAATTGGTTGTAAAAACATTGTATTTATAATTCTGAACATGTGTTCATGCATTTTACAACTATTCAACAACATAATTTTTAAATTTTACTCTAATTGCAGAATTTCTACTAGAAGCTGGAAAGATAATTTTTAAGTTTTTGGTGCAGTATGATGAGATTAGTAAAAGTATTACATCTACATTTTAATTCCTTGCTGATTCTTGACCACATTGTTGGAGCCATTAGCAATATGATGTACTTATAATTGTTGGGTCATATCTTGAAGTGTGCTGGAGTGGCAGCTTAACAGGTGGCATGGTGGAAGGCGTGTATTGATTAAAAAATGCTTCAAGATTATTTCCTCAATTCTCTTTTTGGGACATTTACCTCCGTTGATGTCTCACACTCAGTTCCAGGAATTAACAGCTATTGCGACAGGCTTTCATCCCTGGGTCAACTGCAAAGTCAAACTGGAAAAATGCATCTTTGCAACGTGCAAGGGCGGCTGATATTGGCTACTGTACAAGTAGTCCCACCTCTAACAGTCTCTCTTCTGTTGTGAATTCCTTTCCTTTCTCTTTTCCAAACCCAGTTTCTTCTCATGTCTAACTGGGAACACATCACAGTCATAGCTTTAGTCTCTTAAATAAAATCATATCTGTTTCCCCAAGATCACCAAACATTGCAAAAAGTAAACTGCACTGAATTGCAAAGGAAATTATAATGAAAAGGTGACCTGGTTAAAAACTCTGTAACTTTCTTTGTGAGGTTTACAGCACCTGACAAGGTTAAAGACAAAAAGGAAAGAAAACTTTGTACTTCACTTTTCACGATGACATTAAATGATTGATTTATAAATCCTTAGGACTATTTGCAACTTGCCAAGTCATCTCTGTTTTGCTGGTACATGTTACAAATAACAATACTGACAGCTGCCATTTAAGGCACAGTTTTGATTCTAGGATGAAGATTTAACCATTCTTTGAATCACATAGGCATTATGTTCTCGGGTCTCTGAGCAGCCTTTTTGGATATACTACTATGTAAGGTCAATTGGTGGAAGACAGAAGTGACAAAGTTTAGATTATGGTAATAAAAGTGGAAGAGACTCAGCTAGCACATTTCAACCTGTTAGCCTCTCTTCCAGTTTTAAGTTGCTCCTGAAGGTGATATTAACCCAAGACATTTCATGCTGAAACACATGAAAGACTATTATACCTCAGCAGAAGACAACTAAGAATAGCCTAATGTGATTCCCTGTGCTTTTCTACCTAACCATGATTCAGGACTACAAAAATACATTTTCTTTAGAGTATGTAAGAAGCATAAAATAAAACCTATGTTTTGAAAAGTGAAGTAAGGTTTTTGTTTATTTTAACTAAATTTTCACCTTCCATCTACTGATTAAAAGCCAAGATCAACAAACAAGTAATGGTACGTTCAACAAAAATTTAGGTATCTACTGCAGGCTTAACATGACACGTTAAGAGCATGCCTGCAGCTACACAATTTCTTATTTATTCTAGATTACAATATTCACTACTGGATTTAAGAGTGGATCTTTCATGTATAGACAAGTTCCAAAACATCCTCATTGTTTTCATCTTCAGTATAAAAATATAACATGCACATACATAAAACAAGAACTCTCTAGGTAAAGACGCCTGCCATATGTAAAAATAAAAAATAATTTTAAAAAAAATTGAAAAATTTTGTATTAATTAAAAAAGAGATGCTATGCATGTAGTAATGTCAACTATTTAACAAACTGTTGTTCATTCTATGCTATTCTAACAGGTGGATCCAGAAAATAGTTGCATTTATTTAATCAATGTTTTATGTGCTTCTCAGACCTAAACTGCCACTGAACAAACTTGTTACTATAACCCAGAAATGTCTAATTCTGCTCCAAATAAGATTATTTTTAAAATACAAAGGCAAATGATTACAGAATTATGGTTATGACTCATGAGCTGGTTCAACAAATTAAAATTTGCCAAAAACAATACATTTGTTTCCTAAGATTGCTAAGAGCCACGTTTCAACTTTATGTTACACTGCAATTCACAAAAAAATACTACGCACGAAATCAGAGGTTAACTGCAGCATACAAGCACATTTACAGAAGTCACCTAATTTTACTATTACTATTTGTGTTAATGTGTACACCTTAACAAAAGTCCTTAAATAATCTTCAAACATTACAAAACTGGATTTACAAATCTTTATTTTATTTCCAAGTTACTTCATTCTAAAAATGCTGAAACAAAAAAATACCATCTCCTAGAGGAGTTTACAATAAAAGGCTAACAGTCTGGCATGGAAGAAGTAAATATACAAAAACCTGTTTTAACAGTCACAAATCAGTTGCTGGTGATTAAAGAACACTGTTCTTCAAAGCTAGTAAACACTTCCACATAGCCAGAAATGTAAGTTTTCCTACCACTCTTTTCTGTCCCATACAATAAAAATATCCAATGCAATAAAGTAGGATAAAAGGGTGGACATGTGATCAAATAAAACTATTATCTATGGTTTTGATTACTGTTTATCTTGTGTAAATGTAAAGATTTTGTCGCAGTTTTCGACAAGATGGAGTTATTTGACCTTTAAAAGTGTTAGCTGAAATACCTCCCTTTTTTACCAGTGTATGTTGTTTGTTCACTGCTGTACTGTTGTTTTATGTCTGTAACAGAAACTGGCTCTAGGCCAGCCCATGGGTCCTCAAGCATTGAAGGTCTGTAATAGTTTTCCACATCATTAGACACTCTTTTCTCTCTGCCATGCGCTGTACCAAATGGCGTAGATGTCCTGGGTGATCCCTTTGGAAGAAAACCATCAGGTAAAGAAACATTTAATAGACTAATTCAAACTAAAAAAAACAACCAAACAGTTTCCTTCTATTACAGCAGAGCTTTTAAGCTGATTATTAATGATAATCACTACTCCTCACCTGCATCTTCCTCAGAAAATATTAACTTTACTACGTTTTTGAGTGATCATTTACCAGGATAAGAAAAAAACCAATAAAACAGTCTTCTCCAAAATACTTGTTTACATGACTCTGGTACATAACTACAGAAAAGCTCCTCATGCTATTTTTTATAAGCTGCCTAAGTCACCAACACACCTAACTCAAAAAGCTGAACAGAACACGGAGTTAGAGGCTGAGAATGAGTTGATAATGTTTACAAGAGTAGAAGTCAGATATTAAGTACTTAAGAGATTGAACACAGCATTGTGTAACAGCATTAGCTACCCAAAGAACTTACTGGGAAAAACATGTACTGTACTAATGTTCTGTGAATTTTAAGAACAGATTACTTTTTTGGATGTACAATCTGGATGGTAATCAATGATTAAGTAGATATTGCATAATCACAGAATCACAGAACGTTAGGG